CCAAATGTATCTCCTCCTACAAATTTAGAATAAAACACTTCAGACATAGCTCATTCTACTCAGCTTGAGATCATCGGCGCCGACATTGTTACACTGTATCAACGTAATCCCAACGCAACTTTGAACTTTGAATGAACTGTAAATGCTGCCTTCATTCTAGAAAATACTATCGCAAAACGGTTGGAAATAATAAATGTAACAGCAGAATACGTCATAGTAATAAACTAAGTGACCTCCAAAGACTGAATTGTGTTTGCAAACTTCGTATAGGGCCCATTTAGTTATAAACCGACGTTAGCTTCACGTTTATGTCACACCATGGAAACAGCCAAAAACATGTTGCTTGTTTTTGAGCGGAGCGGATCGCCAACCAGCCTACTGGCTTGTATTGAATATCTGCTGGACAGGATTTCAATTTCTTACTTGTACATTTCAATGTCTCTAAACAAAAGTAGGGAAAATTTGAACTTCATGACAAACTCGAGTCATTTTGTTTTGGAGTAAAAAAAAAATATTCCCACAAGTTATGCATGTAATGCTATCAGTGTCACGAACATAACGTTTTAGTATATGAAAGAATACGGCTGTGATAGTAAATAATTATCATACAATACCTTTATGACATCTTGTTCTAAAATCTCAATTTCATGTTTCTCCTTTTTATTGCTGTCAGCATCCTCCTCATCTTCATCTTCTTCTTTTGACAAGAAAAGTGGATGTACTTCGCATCCACGATACCAGCCGTACACTTTATCTAAACATTCCTGAAACAAGACACATGTAATGAATATGCCACGTACTGTACTTGTATCTAGAAATCAATAATTCTATGAACTGTGAAAAAAGTGGTTTCTCTTTAATTAATATGAGTTTTGTTACCTCATCAGCGGGTTGTATCAGGACCGATTTGAATGCATCAACAGCAGCAGCAATACCAACTTCACTGGTATCATCCAACGACTGCCGTAGTATAAATATTAAGCCAGCATCCAATAAATGTGGTATCAAAGCCACTTGTAAATCCCCGCCAAGTCTATCTAAACGATACTGAAATGAAAACAAACATAGTTATTATAGCTGCCTATGTACACAACTCAAGAATCTTACATATAGCAAGTATTTGTGGTCAGTTTCTAGCTATACAGTTCAGGCATTTTATGCTATATCAGAACCTTTCCAGTTACTAAGGTTAATGGTTTATTACTGAAAAATAGTTAAAGAATGGCTACAACAAGGCTAACAAGGTTTTTTACAGCTGAGACCCAAAACAAGTCGTTAACTATCGTTTAGTGTCTGAGTTGCCATACTTTTAACAAAGTAATACTATGAATTTGGCAAGTTTTGGGTGGTTGTTCTGTAGCCTCATCGCAGACTGCATACTGTGTGATGTATATGATATATTATGTGATGTACATGGTATATTATGTGATGTACATGATATATTATGTGATGTATATTGTGTGATATACATGGTATATTGTGTGATGTATATAGTATATATATATGATTTCAAAGTTAACTTACATTATACAATACTTTAGCTAAAATCTGTAAACTGAGGATTCTCTGATTGAGAGCAGCACTTCTACAAAGTTGAAACATTTCTTCTAACGTATAGCCAGGAACCTGTGAACAACAAAGACAATTGTGTCATTAACTTTATACAATGGCACTTATTTTTTGGTACATCTTTTCTGCACACTTGGATTTAAAACATGTCCATGCAATCCAATGAAGCAAAATAATGCTCAAAAATCATTAACAAAAGAATGTTTGTTTTTGTTTGTGCAAAAGAGAATCTTAATAGGGCAAATTTGTAATGTATTTTTTGAAAATTTACTACTAATTTAACATACATGTACTTAAATTTCAATTTCTTGTATGTTGTTCTTTAAACATGATTGCATAGATACATGTATAGAAGGTGAATTATTAACTGTGTATTGTTAACATCAAAATACAATAGAATAACTATACCTCTGGTTCCTCCCCATGATGATGTAATCCTTCCCGCATCGATATATCAGAGTCGCGTGCAATGATGACACCATGTAAATTGAACCGCGCTTGCACACCAATTTTTTTCTCTCCTGTTTTTGGTTTGGGAACTTCCTGCATCCATTCCAGTTTCTCCTTTTCCACTGTATCCATGTGGACCCAGCCTTTCCTGGATGTGATTGGTGAAGTACCTAATAGTGAGAAATAAAGACAGATTTGGAATAAATTGTGAATCATGCAATTTGTAAGTTATGGAAGTTTGAAAGTTGAAAGGTCATGGACGTCACACCAATATATTGAGCATATGTAATTTATATTTACACGACAGGTTCACACATTCTGACCAATTATCATGCTCATTTGTGACTCCAACAAGCAGAAAAAATCACCTAAAGCTATCAGCAGATCAGATTAAATTACATGAAGTCAGTTAGATCCATTATTGCATGTGACCATAGTCGCTGTTTTCTTTTGCATTATTTGTACCTCATTATGCATAATAATTCCAGATATCTGACTGGTAGTTTTAGAGAGGTTACAAATGGCTAATATACAACATACATAAATTTAATTTATTATAAACAATTGTAGGTTCATTAAGTTACTTACCAGATTTGGGTGAACTCATCGTTTGTTCAACTACCTGTTCATTTCCATGTGGAATTTTTGCTGTGGTTTCTGCATTTGATGTATCCATTGATGGTGAAGAAGTAGTTTTCTGTTTTTTTGATGCCAAAAATGCAACTATGTTTGGGTCTAGAATCAACAAATTTAATAACGTCAGAAATGTCTTTTATCAGTTTATGTTGTGAGGAAACCATCACTGAATGTGAAAAACTAAAATACATGTATTATAAAAGCACTAATTTTGCAAGTACTGGGATAACAAAACTTTCATCAATTTAAGAGTAGATCATAACATTTTGTAGCTATTAACACAATGGAGGCAACAAATACTCCATATGTTAGAGGCAGAGTGAAGAGCTATTGAATGCGTTAATATTTCACTTGGGTCCTGATAGTTACAGAGAATCTCAAGAAATTTACAAAATATGGGAATCCTAGCTACAAAAATTGTAACCAATTACAGAATTATTATCAAATATTTTTAACGAGATAATATTATACATATATCTTACCAAGCATTGATTTCAGTTGTTTTTGTTCAGCAAGAATTTCAGCTTCTGGCATTTCTGAAAGTTTTGTCAAATTTTCCTTATGTATCTTGATGGCTTCTTTGGAGCTCTCAACTTGATCCAACCCTTCACCAGTAATAACAAGTGGTGTTACTAGGAAGAATACAAAAACACAGGAAAAATGTGTTGTATTGATTTTAGACACACTTTTAGAATAAATATTGGAATAAATTCTGTGATTATACTCCAAACACAGTCCCTCCAACTATGCTCCTACATAGCCTTCTACATGTTCAACATACCCTGCCATACAAAATGAGGTGCTGCAGTAATGTCCATCTTTAAATTGTAAAACACTATATCTATACATTTTCCCACCAACATTTTGGTATCATATTTTGAAAATTTTTATGAATTTTTCTGTAATTTGTTTATAAAATTTGGGACCAAAAGAGCAGTATTTATCATTGGCTACAAGTTTTGATCAAAATTTAAAAATAAAAAAATTGTTATGCAGATTTATTTTATGAAACGTGACACAATTTTGACTCTGGCGTTCAAAGAGTTAATCTGTGTGTCAAAGTTCAACTTCGTCAGGCTGAGACATAGATATAATATAATGTAAAACTTAAAAATTAGTTTGTGTCCAATGAAACTAACAATAGAACTCACCAGGCAGAGAAGCCATCTGACCAACTGCGTTTTCTTCCACTTCCATCTTTTCCTCCTGCCCAGATTCATTAGATTCAGGATTCTTTGCTATATTCCGCACATTGTCAATGGTTTTGGAATGTATTTTACTTGTTACGTTAGGTACCTCAACTTGTTTCATCTCTGATATCATTCCAAATTCTGACGGCTTTGTTCTTGAGAAATGTTGTGCAAATAAACTGGGTCTTTTTTTCTCTGGCACGTCTTTTAGTCTCTGAAAATTATGCATACCAGTAACTCTACTTGAGTAATATGAATAAATGTGATGGTGCAACATAAACAGTCGTTGAGAGACTAAATAATTCATCAATTTCTGAAAAAAATACATAACAATCATATGTCTGATTACCACAATAACAATTATTTTACTGAGTCGTTTTCATTTTTCCATTTTGAAACAAAAATCATACTGGTATTCTATGTAAGGGAATACATCTGTGACTGTTAGCATTATGCCAAGTAAATGCACTATTTCATTCACAAACACAAGCACCTGCAGATCTGCAGGTTCTTCCAAAAATCATTATTATCTAAGCCAGTGATTTTCACCTCTCTCTACGTCTGTGGCACACTCACCCAGGTAGAAAGTCAATCCTATGTTGGTATTCAACCAAATTCAAATTCAGGTAGAATCTGAACAGGGGGCATTCCATCCATTATAACTACTTAGCAACCAGTGATCAGCTGTGATTTTATTTATTTCACTTCAACCCCCCTGAAATCCCCAGTCTTGCAAAAATAACTTTGTTGACTCACTTTATCATCTTGTTTTCCACGATGGAATGCTGATGGAAAAGCCTGGTTCATTGCCCTCGGTAGATACACAGGAACATCACGTATGTCTCTTTCCTACAAAAACAACGTACATTGCAAAATAAAATATGTTCAGATGTATTATATTATCTTTGATAATATGTTGAAATTTTGTGAGCTACTGTGAAGTTCATTAAGGCATGAAGCGCTTTATAGAAACTTATAAAACATTTACCCAAGAAGATTCTTACATTTCATTCAAATCCAAAAAAAGACGCTTTCATTGGCTATGGAATCCATTAAGTCTTTCCTTCAGTCATTTGCGGATTTACTGCGATGCATCACTAAATGTGTTACGACTGGTCTAGTCAGTTTTTAACTGTCATTTGAAATAAAACATTCAAAATATTTGATATACAACAAATTCATGTCTTCATGAAATTCACTGAAGTATGATAAACAAGGTATTGTAGATTATTGAAAACGCTTTATTAGTTGTAATGTGTTTTGTTTAATTAATATCGAATGGGATTAATGAGATCAAGAATTAGTTTTAAGACCACCCTTAAAAATTAATAATCTTTGATATTCCTGACAGGTGTAGCAGTGACACATAAAATGAGAACCAAGTTGATGAAACAAAATCAAACTCATACTCACGATAATATCTGACAAAACTGAGGTGATGTGAGAATCTCTCTCTGAAATAAAGCAAAAATATTTGAGTTTCAATAATTTTGGAAAATTCTGAAAAAGCATACATGAAATAATTATGAAACTGATAATTTATATATCTGATCACTAAATACTTACGGTCCATTTCTTTGTGCATATTATCATGATTATTACCATCCAAGTCAAAGTATACCCTCTGACTACTAGAGCTAGAAACATTGGATTCCTAAAGAAAATGGGAAACAAATATTTTCTTTACATGTAAATAGTTGTTGTTGATCAAAGAGACAAATCAGTGTCAATAAACTTCAAAGCACGATTACAGTACATGTAAGTTGTTCATGGTACAACTTTCATACATCCCCTTGCCTAATACTGTATGGCTAAGTTCTAAAGCATCTTAACTTTTCCGTTCTAGTTGCATACTATGTCACATGATCGTGTAGAATAAATTATGTGTGATATACATATTAATTATTTATTTTATTTACCTACCCTTTGTGAAGACTTGAATTTGGACTTTTTTCTTGGAACATCACCAGGACTAACTGTGGAGGAATCTATAAAAACAAAATGTGTGCATATGATAATATAATAAATACTGAAGATTATATATATATCAAAACAGCGTATACAATAAGAGAGCAAATAATATTAACACAGTAGTTTACTTTTTCCTGTTTGTTTGTCACACTTTTTGTTTTGTTTGTTTTTAACTTTATTACCTTTTACATGTGTAGAAACCAAAAAAAGAATTGTCAAATTTTCTTTAATGTTGTAATAAAGCAATATTCTATTCTATTCTATTCTATATATACTTATATTCTAACATTAAGTTATTCAGATGGTATATGAATTTATTACTTGTATCTTAAAACAAGTTTAAATATCAAACAGTAATAATCCTTATTGTGCACTATAATCACAAGACAATGCAGTTCCTATAGTTTGCTGTATGTTCCAAAAGGCATGCAAAAGGTAACACGCGAAGTGGACCAGCGGATTTACAGAAGTGTCCACTTCTTTCATGGGTCCACTTAGAAACTGGCCCACTTCACTTACAGTCCATGTGATTCAATAAATGTGTAATTTACAGTTGTTATTAATTATTATAGTACACTACAGTAGGTCTTACCGTCAAGTTTGACAACATCTCGTTTCAGAGTTGTTTTGGGATCTGGGTTTTTAGTGCTTGGTTCCCCTTTGTTATCGCTGTTCTTTGTCAGTTTTGCCGATGACACATTTTGCTTCCTTAGGAACTCTTCCTGAAAACGGAGTAAATCCTCTTCTGTTTCACCGGGTTTAGGACGATACATAATTTTGTTTTGATCACGTGTGTGTTTCGAAGTTGTGAAAGTCACGCTGTGTTTACGGTTTTGATTCAGCGATCACTGCATAGCCTTTACGGATGTTATAAAACGTCCATCAACGTAACTTGCTACTGTCCCACCATACTAACAATGCTTGATGTAACTTTGAGGAGTATAATTTAAAGGTGAAATCGAAGTGAAATCAGGAGAATGTGCAGGAATCGACGTTCTCCATGGGGGCAGCCATTTTGATACACTGAACTGAGAGGGCGCTCTAGATGCGCAGGGACTTGCGTAGATGACGTTTACTTTGCTTAGCAACAATAACATAAGTTGCCTGACCTGACGAGCAGTCCAAACGAGTCGCGAAATCACAGTTATACGTAAGTTTTTTTATTCATTCACATATTGTTATTATCTGTATTATTCACTAGTGTGCATGTCAAATTTTTACCAAAGCCATCCTTTTGAAAATGCCATATTCAGTAGCGACATCGTATCGTCTCCATGCCTAACGAACTGTTGAACCGTCCATGGCTGAATTGACGTGACAAGTTACACATGAAGTATATGGGCGTGCGTGAAAACGTATTTCTCTACACTGTTCTTCGGTGCTTTCAACACATGTGTAGTTTTGTTGTAACTAGTGGAGTGCTGCAAAATTATTTAGTAAGTTTAGTTGTATAGTAAGCAAAATAAGAAGGCTTTATACGTCTCTAAAACTCTCTGTTATAGGGCTATATAAATTAAGAAACGATTATATATAGTTTAGGAGAGAAAATATAGATATGTTTGAGTTAGGTTATGGCTATGTATATTCCAAGAGTATTGGTTCAGTTCCGGCTTCGCCTTGGGTTTGAACTATTGTTACAATAATAATTATTCACCAGCGTAATAGTCAAAATGGTAACGTATTCCAAACTACTCATCTACTCCAATGCTTGATAATTTGTTTTCTTCAGTGGAATGAATCCATATGTCTGGTTTCATGCGCCATGACAATCAAGAAATTGGTAACGTGGTTATATACTTACTTGTCCCCATTAACTGCATTTTATCAATAATTGTGCTTTAGCAGATACACTATTGCTATCGATTCATGTGAAATTTGTTTTCAGTTTTTGTGCTGTTTAATGATTAGAACATGTTTGTTATTCTAGCTCAAAATGACAGAACCACCACTCACTGACAGCCAGGCATCGGAAGAGAAGAAAGATGACGCTGATGAGAAGGGTAGTGTGAAGAGTTCTGGCAGTCATAAGGATAAAAGGATACCATCGCCGGCATTGAGCACTAAAGATGATGCAGCAGCTGATGCAAGGAATATGAGAAGAATTATCGCAGAAGATCCTGATTGGTCATTAGCTACTGTACCACTCTTGTCTGAGTTGTGTGTTTCACATATTGTTGCGGAATTTGAAAGTGAGCATAGTAAAGTATTGATGTAGATCAGAATTAAAAGTACATATTATGGCATGTATAGTATTGTCTACAATTTTTTTTTTTTTTTTTTCTGAAAGTTAAAAAGTATCCCTGATAATAGCAAAAATATAAAATAATGGAAGAAAAAACTGTTATTTCTTGCATGTGCCCTCAGTGGATTTGGTCTAACCAGTGACATTGATTTACAGTAACTACCGGGGATAGATCTATTGCTGGAATAACCAGAGTAACCAATCAGTACTCAATGACATTTGACAGAAAGGAAACGATCCTCCACATCATGGGGTGGTCATGTGATATGCACATTGAGCTCATGAATATGATTAACAACTCAAACTTCCATCGAGAGACAAGGACACAAGTTTTTTTTTTTATGATCACTCCTCTATATTATATTTTTGCCATTCTGATCTTTTTTTTTATTTTCGAAAAAAAAATTAAGACATGCAAGAAAGTCTAGTATCTACTGTGAAAAGCATTTTGTACAATGCCAACTGTCCATTGACAGTATGTTGAACATAAGTATATATTGCTAGAGTTCTCAGATATAGTGTGATCAAAGTATGATGTCCACACTTATAATGAACAAACATTTCAATCTCATTTTCAGATCACCCTAAACTTGATGAATTGCTACCAAAGTACAAGACTAAAGTACTTGAAAAGATATCAACAGAAATACCTTTAAAAGTAGTTTCTCATCTTGTGTCAGATGAAGGCTATTGGAAGAGGAGATGTAAAGCACGGTGGGAAATATGTGATGTCTCTAAGTATGATGCCAGCTGGAAGCGTATGTTTTTTGAGCGCCATTTAGAAAACATCATTGAACATTTTGTCCCTGAGACCACACAGCCTAATGAAATTGAAGAATTGATGCCATTGGCAGCACCCTACATACAGAAACTTGAAATTAAACAGTTATTACCCCCAGTGAAGGAAGAGCAGATGAGACCACTGGATGATATGTCAGATACTGGCAGTGAATCAGGGGATAATCTTCCTAGTATTGATCACTTTGAATTCAGTCTAGTTCTTGACAGACTTCCTCATCTACAGGAATTTCATGTTACATATGGAGTCAGAGACTGTGGCATGAACTTTGAGTGGAATCTCTTTCAATTCACCAACCGGGACTGTCTACTCTTGTCGAAATGTGTCAAGAAGTGCAGTACCCTTAAAGTCTTCAAATTGCACAAAAGCAAAGTGGACGATGACAAAGTGAGAGTTTTGGTAAGCCATATATTGGATCATCCGTCTCTAGAAGAGCTTGATCTTGGGCACAATATGATTGGAGATCATGGTGCTCGTGCCATCGGTAAACTACTCAATAACCACAGTAAACTGGTTAAACTGAACCTGTGCAACAACAAGATTCGGGCTAATGGAGCTGGAGCCATTGGTCATGCATTGACAAAGAACACCACTCTGAAATTTCTCAATTTACGACTAAACAGACTCGGTGATGACGGTAAGTATATATTTCAGATATCAGGAGTTGAATGCCTGTCCACTTGTTCCAGACAAATAGATGTTAGCTGTGACAGGTGACTGAAGAAATTGCTCTATATTGTTCATTGTCTCCTTTCCATCTTCAATCATATCTCTTAAATTCATATATTATTCTTGAATAAGAAGTTTTTTTTTACTAATTAAGTGACTGGTTTTGTTATCTATAGGTGGCCAAGCCATTGGACGAGCATTGCTGAAGAACTCCACTCTGGAAGAGATCAACATGGGTAGTAATGATGTGACAGAACCCACTGCAGCTGTCTTGTCACAAGTAGTTGTCCAGAACTCAACACTGAAGATAATTAACCTGTCTTGCAATAGGCTTGGACCAGTAAGTGCATAGCCCTCATTACTGTACATCATGGGTGTTGTGTTTTATAACAAACAACAATAACCATTTTTGTTTGTCTCATAAACATTTAATACAACAAACCAAAGTGCATGTTTTCTGGATTACATTTGCCCCAAAGATTCTGCTATTTTTGTTGTAAGAGACTAATCATGGCTGGTGAAAGGAGTGAAAGCCATTCACAATAATGTAATATGTAGAGTGCAATATACCAAATATTCACATCAAATGATGCATTAAAGTTCTTTCAATTGTTTAGTTATCACAGTTAGTAGAAATACATGGTAATTAGAATCACAGTTTGTTGACACTGATCTGGGCTATGTGTATTATTCATGACAAGGTTTCACTGATAACCTAGTCAACTATGAACTACCATAGTGTAATAACTATCATGAACAATTAGAGCAGAATCATCATCAATGTTTGTAAATTCATTGTCCCATTGCATTTATATTTTCCAGCCATTGTGCACTTATAAATCTGTATTAACTAAGTTGTAGAGCAACTAATTTAAATAATTTATTGCAGGGTGGAATGTCATCACACAAGCTTTCTGAAAAATTACTAGTATGATAGCGCCCTCTTTATCTGGTTCATGACATTTTGTTCTTATCATCGTATAAATGTCACTGTAGAGGGCGCTGTATGCTTGTACATTTAATGCCTGAACTTGCTTGTGATTTGCTTCTTAGGATGGTGGTAAGCAGCTTCAAGAGGGTATGGAAGAGAACAGCACAGTTATTGAGATGGATCTGAGACTTACAGAGTCAGGACAGGAAAGTGAATACTGCATCAATCAAATCTTGAAAAAGAACCAGGAGAGGGAGAGAGAGCTGAGGTTGGGAGATGATATGAAGCAAGGATGAGAAAAATATGTAAACCCTTCCAGTGATTTCAGTCTTGCATTTATTATCACAAATGTCACGTTTATAGTCTTGTTTTGAAATCATCAATAATATTTGAAATACAAACTATATCACATCCAAATGATTGGACTATGTGCAAAATAGTTTGAGTACAGTCTTGATTTAAGCTACTTGTATAAAACTCTTCACTTGTTTTTTCTTTGTAAATACAACATTTCCAAAACTACCATTTATACTTAAAACTGAGTTGTTTATCTGAGATTGTTTTGAAATACTCATACTATTATCTGTCATATTTTTTGTTTTCTCAATAAACTATACATCTATATGCAATAGAAGTCCTTTGAGTGGATGTCACATTATTATTAGTTGGAGATGCATGACCAAATGTCGGCCATTTTATTGTTAAAAAATTCATCAAAATCAAGCATGTCTGCATTTCTGAAACTGATCTCGGCCTTGCATGGACGAGGTTTGCTCAAACTTAACAAGTTATTAGCAAATATTGTTCAGAGCCAAATTTCTGACATTTCTAAAACTTTATACATACATGCACATGTATTTGATGTAGCTCAATATGGCCAGATTAAATGCTTTTGTTATGTATTTACAATTCCCAAATTAATAGCATGTTTGTTTGTGTGCTTGTGGATATTGCACGACCTGAGGTCAAATAAACCGGTAGGTAGGCCAGATTTTAAATGTTCTGATCACAGTACATGTCAGTGTCTCCAACTTGCAGCTTACAAAACCACAAATTTATATTACATCATCTTTCAACTAACTTGTATCAACCTCTGAAAATTTGCACACCATTCTGCCTCAGCAAGAAAAATGAACATGCAAATTATTTTTGGCTATAGCATTACATTTTTATATTTTTGGGGGGAATTTTGAGAGTTGAAAAACTATGTCATGGTCATATTTACTCAGCGAAGCATGTACTATGTCTTTTTCAGTTCATTTTCTTTACAAAGATCATCTTTTTTAACTGGTAATCCATGTTTCTCAGCTGTCTTGTACGGCTGTTCCAGCTGCCCCTTTTGTATCCACCCACACTCATCATATAACTGTTTAAAATATGCGGCTGACTGCTTCTAGGTATGCCTGTGTATTGTTCTTTTGATTTTCTATATTTTTGTTCTACACTCGCCCAATCCTAGGTAGGTTACGTATATGCGAATAGAATTACATCACATTGTCAAATGACAAAACATAAATGTCACTGGGCCTGGTGATGGTTTACAGGATTCTACCCATGTCAGTATAGATAAGTGAGTATTCTGAGCAGGATCTCATTCTTACAAATTTACAAGGATGCTTCGTATAAAATGTGATGTTTACAAGATATCTCTGTATAAAGTGTGAAGTTTACAAGATTCCTGTATGTAAAGTTCACAAGATACCTCGTGGAGTTTACAAGATTCCTGTATATACAGTTTTGAGTTTACAAGATTCCTGTATATGAAGTGTGGAGTTTGCAAGATTCCTGTATGTAAAGTGTGGAGTTTACAAGATTCCTGTATATAAAGTGTGGAGTTTACAAGATTCCTGTATATAAAGTGTGGAGTTTACAAGATTTCTGTATATAAAGTGTGGAGTTTACAAGATTCCTGTATATGAAGTGTGGAGTTTGCAAGATTCCTGTATGTAAAGTGTGGGGTTTACAAGATTCCTGTATGAAGTGTATAGTTTGCAAGATTCTTTGTGTAAAGTGTGGAGTTTCCGGGATTCCTGTTTGTAAAGTGTGAAGTTCACAAGATTCCTGTATGAAGTGTATAGTTTTCAAGATTCCAGTGTGCGAAGTGTGGAGTTTACAAGATTCCTATTTGTAAAGTGTGAAGTTCACAAGATTCCTGTGTGTGAAGTGTGGAATTTACAAGATTCCTGTATATAAAGTGTGGAGTTTACAAGATTCCTGTATGTAAAGTGTGGAGTTTACAAGATTCCTGTATATAAAGTGTGGAGTTTACAAGATTCCTGTATAT